CAGTTACAGACCTGAGACCTTGGAGCAGCCTTCTTGATACCCTGTGCTGGGTTGACTAGAAAATATGTTGTCAAATGTTGAGTGGCCATGCACTTGGGTGGAGACTGAACACAACCCTTGTTCCTTTCTGATAAAAAAAATGGTACTGCCACAATGCCTTCCAACTCAAATTTCTCTAAAACTTGTTATAAGAAAAATAAAATTAGAAAAAGCAAGGAACCATTTCTAGATTTTCTGCTAATTCTCTTATGAATAAATTGAACATCGTTGTTATATTGCTGTGAAAATATCTAAAAAGAGGCAACCTATTTTATTTAATCCACAAACAGCTTTTAGATTATGTCCTGCCTTGAGAAAGCAAGACTGACCCCTTCTTAGCTTCTTCCTTTGTGGGCTTTAGTGAGAGAGTGTCCACAGAAAAAAATGGAAACCTATATGTTTAAGCCCTCAGAGTACTCGGCTTTCTTTTGTCTAGCTGGAAAGAGAAATACAGCAAAGGTTTAGAAAACTACACCAAGAAAATTGTCTTTATTTGATTTATTCAAAATGCCATGGTGAGATATGGAGGAAAATATAAATAAAAACAAAATTTTATTTTGTTTATATTTGAGGAAGAGAAAGAGATTAGGTGTGTTTTTCTTCCCTTATTTTAAATACCAGAGTAGGGATATTTCTAATAATGAAGATTGTTACAGAGCTGAACCTATTCAGCAGGGTATAGATATGTTGAGCCTTTTATTCATGCCTACTTAAGTAGGGTTTTAGTCAGCTTTTTCACTGCTGTGAGTAAAAGACCAAACCAGTAAAATTGTATGGGAGGAAACGTTTGTTAGAGGGCTCACAGTTTCAGAGGTCTTAGTCCATAGAAGGTCGGTTCCATTTCTGGGGGGCTCGAGGTTAAGCAGGATATCACGACAGAAGAGTGTGGCAGAGGGAGGCAGCTCGTATGATGATCGTGAAACAGAGAAAGAGAGACTCCACTTGCCAGATACAAATATAAACCTCCAAAATCACGCCCCAATTTCCACCTTCTGAGACCACGCCCTACCCCTTCAGTTACCACTCAGTTAATCCCTATTAGGGAATTAAATTATGATTGGGTTAAGAGACTCACAGTTCAATCATTTCTCCTTTGAGCATTTGGGGGATACCTCACATCCAAACCATAACAAATAGTTCCTATGTTTGTTATCAATCATATTTTGCATCAATATGTATTTTATATGAATACATATTTCAATTTTATGTCAACAGCTTTGAAACTGTTTTTAAGTTGTAATAGTGACACCCTGAAGTCTCACGCAGAAACATCACTCTCTCCTGTGGGTTCAGCTCCTGACCTGATGCTTCTGAATATAATAAGGTTGTTACTTAGTCTCCAGCCATTTAATCTCCCAAAATAGAATGCTATCAAGAAAACAGTTTGCCTTCTAGTATTAGTTTATAATCAGATCTTTTAAAAGAAACACTTGTATTATTTTCCTTACTAAGTTAACCAGCATTTATTGAGTGACTCCCTGTGGGAACCTTGTATAGTTCTTGCCTTTGAGGAGTGTCCTGTGAAGAGAAATTTAGGTAGAAAAAGAATCTTTGGAAGATATTTCAGGAATGGACCTTAATATGTTTGTTTACTCAAAAATTTTGATAGACTGATTAATAAAGCATTTTAACAGAGCCCTTTATTTTTCCAAGAAATAGCAACTCAGTGCCTGTACATAATAGTTATTGTATGGAAAGCTTTGAAACAATATCCTATTTTCCTATTTATTTATTTATTTTTCTGCAAGCAAGCACTGATAACATGTTTGATAATCTGGTTTATGGATTGATTTTGGTTTTCAGTTACAGCTTTCTTCCTGGCCACAATAATGGGTGTGAGATTTAAGCGTTCTAAGAAAATAATGCCTGCTGGGCTGGTTGCAGGTTTAAGGTAAGAACTATTGAGATTTATACTTTCCTCTGCCATCATTTTGAAGGGCTGATTTTTGTTCAAAAGTCAATTTTAATTTGAAAGGTGAAAATAGTTTCTATTATAATAAGCATAATTGTAAAAACCATAAACCATAGTGGATTCAGTCAGTCTTTGGCACTGATGTGTTCATAGTCATTCTTCCCAGAAACAATTAGTGTCTCTATTATCTGATCACATGTACACAGTTACCTTTTTCATAATTCAGAGCTAAATTCAGCCTTGTTTCCCCACAAGATTCATCCACCTAAAGCAGTAAATTTCTTCATTTACGTCTCTTTTAGAGAGTTAGACAGTGATAATCTCGTGTAATTATTTTGAGTTTTTTGAAGGGAGATAAATTTTAGTATTTTTTAAAAAGATAGGTAGGGGGTCTCCAATTTTTGTCAATTTGATCTGGTAATTTTGTCCATGAGATTAAGCATGTTACCAAATAAAAATTTAGAGATAATATGTTTTTTCATTCTTCCTAGCTGACTTTTAAGTGTTAAAATCCATCAGTAAGTCAGTTCCCTTTGACATGTATTTTCACTATTTGGAATTTATTTAAAAGAAGTGAGATGTACACAAAGATTGAGCCTTCATTGAGACTTTATTTCTAATGGGAAACATGTTAAACTGAAAAATTAGGAACTGTCTAGAAATTCATCAGTAAGGAAAGATTCCAATAAATATTTTGCCCACGTAATGGAATATTGAGTAGGCATTTGTACATCATGTTTTCAAAACCTGTTTAATAGCATTAGAAAATCTTGATGACATAACAAGGTATAAAAATAAAATCAAAATCCACAGAGCATAATGCAGAACCTATTGTTTTAAAATGTTTGTATGTAAACAAAGAAGATAAGAAGGAAACACCTCAGACTGTTAATAGTGTTTTTTCTCTAGGTAATAATAGCATAATAATAACTTCCATGTTCTTTTTTTTCCACTTTTGTATAGAATTTTCTAGTGTAGCTAGATGTTATGTTTCTAAGGAGGGGGAAAATTTGATTACAAAGGACTGCTTTTCAGTTATAATCCTACTCTAAAAAGGATGCTCTGTGTTAGAATCAGAAGAAGGGTTTGCTGTCAAGAGGACAAGACCCAGTTAATGGCCATCTCCTTGATTATTTTTCTAAGTGGCTTTACTTGACTAGCTGTTGAAGGTTTTTGTTTTTTCCTAGACCTTTCTTTCACGAACCCTCATCCCAAGCTTTGGAACAGCAAGTTCTTATTTTTCTCATTCATTCAGTGAACATTTTTATTTCCTGTCTGAGAAGTTAGAACACACAGATGATGTGTTCGCCCTGTTCCAAGGAGTGGAGCTGGGAGAGAGTCCTGGAAGCCAAGGCTTAGTAACATGCCTGCATATAGCGTGTGATCCTTTCTATCTTATGCCAGGTAAGAATGACCTCCCTTTGCCTCTATCTTATTTTAATTCAGCCTCATGATGATCCTGAGACTTGTCTTACTGTTGCTGTGAGCATCCAGAAGAACCGAAAACTAAATTCCTGTCATTCTACTGTAATGGGCAGAGTATTCTTTGTACTTAAAAGATAAATTTCAATATAGAATGTCAAGTCTCTTATTTTATGTCAGAAGCAAAAGTTATACTGTCTCCTCTAAGATGAATAAAAGTTTAAGGTAGTTTTTTTTTTTAACAGCAAAAATTTAAACTGTTTCTATTTGTTAAGTGCTGTTTTCATTAAAGGTGTTTAATGAATCCCGATACGCTCTTTCACTTGCTGTAGCTATTTTTATATTTGTAATGTTGTTTTTGACAGTTCCAAATACTGATGACTCAAGGAAGTTTAAATTAAACTACAACTTATCCAATAAAGGAATTTCCTAAGTAGACTTCACAAAATACTAACTTAGATGTTTGTTACTTGTGCTGTATCAGAATTTTATTTTTTTCCATTAAATTGCATTTAATTGCTGCCAGTATTATTTTTCCTTTAAAAGAATTCCATTCTAGGTATACTCTAACAGAATATATCAGTATTCAAATAAAGTAATAAAAATGTTTTAAAAAGTTTTGTTGTTGTATTTTTCTCCCCTCAAATCACCACTTCAAATTTGGGCATAGTTAGAACTTCTAATGTCCAAGGCATCTGCCGCTGACTAGTGTGTTCTTGGGAGGTTACTCCCTGTCTCTGGACTCAATTCCTCTTCCTCAAGGAAGACTTTAACTTAATGGTCAACAAGACCCCTCAGAGGTCTAAAAGCCTGTGATTTTAGTCCTATCGGTTTCCATACCCTTTGTTTAAGCGAGGGAGTGCAGAGTCTTCAGCCCTTAGCAGCAGAATAGATCTGGTTGTGCTAGGTTGGTTTCATTTGCCAGCTGATAGTGACAAGGAATTCAATTAAGAGGAAAAAAACCCAAACCCTATTGGTTGAACCCCAAAGGAAACTTAAACAAATTCCTTGATATACTTTAAAAAAGAACCCCCCCCCAAAAAAAATCCAATCAATCCTAATGATGCCAAAGAAATTATTAACCACAAGCAAGGCTGGAACATACTGTCATAACTGAGCTACTCTCCTTATTTGTCACCTGTCAAAGATGAAGGGAAGAGCCTACAGGTTCAGACTGACAACAGCTTCTACTCAGCCTTTGATTATGACAGTGATATAGAAACTGATCATAGAAGTATATGCAATACCTGTGACATACTCAAGTGACAAAGTTTTAGGAACTAATTGAAGCTGTACAGAGTCCTGGACTGTTCCCAAAAGATGGTAGAAGTGAATGATGGTGATACATGTCCTTCTTGTCGTTCGGTTTTTGGTTTTTAAAGAAATCCTTGATATCTGTTTGCTTACTTATGATTTCACTCTTTGCACATGGAAAATCCAGAAGAAATTCTTTATTATTTTTTTTAAAGAATTCATATTTGGATCATTCTAAGTGGTGTCAGAATATTTAGGAAAAATAGAAAAGGAGTTTTCTAATTTGCAGGCAAGTTTTAGGGACTTTATTTCCTTATGCATTTATTACTTTCGTTTCTTTATTAACATATCTTTAGAATATTTTACTGGGCCTTCCTATAAATGAAGTGTGCAGTATGACCTGAACCTCTTGAATTCAACCTCTTGAATTGTTAATACTCAGCTTCTATAGTGCTCATGTTTTTGAGAAACATGCCATTTTCAAATTTGAATATTTTCTTCGCTTTCTTAATGGATTCTTCATCCAGTGGAGGCTTTCTCTGGCTTCCAGGCTGGAGAAATTTGTAAATTGTGGGGATGTGGCTAATTCTGACCTTGAATTCCTAAAATATAAAATGTCAAAATTCATGAGAGAAGAATATAGTACAATAAACAAAGTAAAATTCTGCTGACTTGTAAGGAGAAGTCCTCAGTTTTCCTATACCATAAACATTTTTCATGTTCTTACATGATCTTTGAAAACATCATTTTAAGTAGCTGCACAAAATTCTATCCAGCTGATGTATCTCATTTATGTAGATATTTTTCAGGTATTGGACATTTAAGTTGTTTGTGATTTTCATCAAGCACAATAAATGGAATATTATGTATTGGAAATTTCAAAAAGCATACAACAGATAACATTGTGTACAAGTGAGGTAGACTAAATAACAATAGTAAAACATGGTTATAAAGTAATATGAAGTGGAAAATTGAGGCTGCAGAATTGTCATTAACTCATGTTACAAATATTTTAATTTTTTTTGTGTGTGTGAATTTGGTGCTAGGGATTGAACCCAGAGCCTTGCATATGCTAGATAAGCACTCTACCAACTAGCTATATCCCCAGCCCTCAGGTTACCTAGCAATGTTTGAAATATTTTAAAGATTATAAAGGAAGCCACTAATGTAGCAAAATCTTTTAGAACTTGGGTCATGGAATCAGACAGACTGAGGTTTGAGTATGAGTCCCAACACCCAAGTTATTCATGTGCAAGTATGTGCAAGTTATTTAACCTCTGAGTCTCATTTCCTGTCTATCTTGAGGATGGAATAAAATAACTGAGGTAGGGCTGGGGATGTGGCTCAAGTGGTAACGCACTCACTGGCATGCGTGGGGCACTGGGTTCGATCCTCAGCACCACATAAAAATAAAAAAAATAAAATAAAGATGTTGTGTCCACCGAAAACTGAAAAATAAACATTAAAAAGTTTCTATCTCTCTCTCTTAAAAAAGATAAATAAAATAACTGAGGTAAAGTGCATTTGATTCTTGGTTCAATGCATGACATGAAGAAACTTCACTAATGGTTATGTGGTTGTTGTTGAGTAATGTCTGTGCTGGGATGATGTTATCTTTTTTTTTTTTTTTTTGATCCAGGGATTGAACTCAGGGGCACTTGATCACTGAGCCACATCCCCAGCCCTATTTTGTATTTTATTAGAGACAGGGTCTCACTGAGTTGCTTAGCACCTCGCTTTTTACTGAGGCTGGCTTTGAACTTGTGATCCTCTTGCCTCAGCCTCCCTAGCTGCTGGGATTATAGGCATGCACCACTGCACCTGGCTATGATATTATCTTAAGTTTTTCTTCTTACTTCATCTAGAAAATTAAGCAACTTTTATTGAGGCTCTACTCTGAGGCTTCAGCCCTGAAAGAAGCCTTCCTCAAATCTCTGTGCTGGTGCAAGTGACCCTCGTCTGCTTTCCCATGTTTTATTTTTTAATTTATCACATTGTATAGAAGATACCTGTCTGTGTGTCTGTCTCCCTGACTAGGTATGTTTCTGGAGGGCATCTTTATATTTCTAGTACAGGCCTTGGCATAAAGAAGTTAGAACGTTCTTGAGTGAATGACAATAAAAAAAGGAATGATGCATATTCATTCTCTCTGAAGTTCTTGGGGACTCTGGATAGCATTACCTGTAGCAGAGGGAAGTCTGAGAGGACACTGGGTTTGCACTCTTCAGCCATTAAGATGACTTCAAGGAGCTGTATATCAGCCCAGCTCAGCTGACTGCCCACAAGGAAATCTTTCCCAGGGTCTCTTAGTGCCTGCATGATAGTTGAGAAGAAGGTAAAGGACTAAGGGCACACCTCACATGTAAACTAGTGATCTAGTGTTCTAGAAAAGTCTTCTAGAAAGTGTTCTAGAAGTTAAAGAGACCTGGTTTCTAATCTGTTCTCTGCCCCCTGGGCAGCTGTATGAGCTTGAGCCAACCCCGTCTCTTGGAGCTTCAGTTCACCTGAAAGAGGTGGAGCAACTCCAATCCCCCTGACCTGACCACAGGAAACAGCTTGCTCCCATGAGCTTGGTCGTCTTTTATCTCCCTCTACCTACCCTGTGAACCTCTATGAATGGTTTTAGTGCAGCACCTGGCTTGGTGGCTTTTCCAGGTCTGAGTTTGCCCTGCCTCTGAGCAGATTCCTTAGTTATGCTGCTTCTGGAGGGGACTTTGTTTTCAGGGAGTTTTTACAAGTGAGTTTTCTTGTAATAGGACTGTAATTTATGAGTCACTTTGAGTTAAAATTGATTGAATACAAAATGAAAAATTAGATAGTAAAGGATATGCTAGCTCCCCAACTTTATGATCTTATGGTGCATGGACATGTGATCAGAATTTAGAGACTTGAGTGCAAGTGTCAGCTTTGTTAGTTGTATGACATTGGGCAAGTTACTTTCAGCTGTTGTTGCCTCATCTGTAAAAGGGACAATCATTGCACCTCTTTCATGGACTAAGATTAAAAGGGCAAATATGCCAAATACACAGCACAGTAGTTATCATTCTGTGGAGATGACAGTGACATCATCATGATTAATACTGCAGTTAATGATATTGTCATTGTCACTATCTTCAGCCATGAGAGAAGTGTCTATACTTTATGATACTATATGACAAAAACTTCAGTCATTAGGAAGAGTGGTGTCAGACATCCTTTCATTGCCAATATTTATAAAATTATAGGGTAAAAATGTCTTAAATTATGTGCTGATTACAAGTTAGTATATTATCTTATATATTTATGAAGGAAATGATACAGAGAAAATGCAAGGTGTAGAATATTTACAGTTTGATACAACTTGGAACAAAGACACCGAAAATTCACTGAATGTGATTAAGAGAAAAAAAGTGTGGTTTGGGAAGTTAGGCTACCTGTAATCTATGCTAAATACCTAAGTATTAATTAAATAGTCTGATTACATGATTTGATGGTGATAAATACATTTAAATATATATACTAAGTCATTCTTTTAGAACTATTGTTCCTGAGCCCAGAAAGGGTGGACTAAACCAGCATTGGCAGTAGATTTGGAAAACTCACCTGGATCATTTATTATTTTTACCAAAACCATGACATTTTTAATGATTCTTTCCGACACTTACTAATATTATAATGAGTGTTCCTAGAGGTAAGAGTGTAGATAGCTAAAGAAGGTCCTAACCCTGGTGTTAGCAATGCAGTCTAGATGTTTGCTTAAGGCACAAGCTTTTCAGACATAATTTTATAAATGCTAAAAGTTTAGAGACACAAGAAAAAAGGGTTATTTTGAAAACATTTTTTAAAGTTTTAGACTGTTGCATAGGATTCTGATAACTTGATAAACTTCCCTGAACCCTAGTATTAGCCAGTGTATTTTAGAAATAATATTATCCTCCCCAACAACTCTTTAATTAGTGTGGGACTCTGATTTCCACCCCAAGTCCTGTTTTAAAGCTTTATTTTACTCCAGAATCAAATAAGGTAACTGAAATTCTGTCAGCACCAGAACTACAAATGGTTCTGGAATTATGCATGAAATCCTTAAAAAATAAAATAAAATTCAGAAGAGCCTAGTGGGAAGAAGGCAGATTTGTTTTATAACTGCAAGTGAGGGAAGAATTTTGAGTTTTTACAGAGGGTTTGGCCATCCTTCATCCACCAATAAAATTCTTTATTTACACTTAGTTTAGTTCATTTTTCTTCTCCTTGATCCAAGTCATCAAGCAAAACATAAGTCTGTCACTTACCTTCTCATAGACAGGGAAGAATCTCGTAGTGGCTCGCTGGAGAATATACTCAAGATTCATTTCCTTCTCTTCAGGCAGAGATAGTGGAAAGTTACATAATCATGTCACTCAGGTCCCTCAAGCCTTCTACATACATGTCAATCCTATAGGAAGGGTGATAGTTCCAAAAATGATTTAATATATGCATTTAAATATATTTATCATGGCTGAATCATATAATACAAATTATTTAATTAACAGTTATTTAGCATAGGTCATAGGTACCCTAACTTTCCAGGTCGTGTTTTTCCAGAAGAAGGGAATATCATATTATGGACCAAAGGAACATTTAAAGTAGTGCCTCAGTTTCATCTTCTTGACTACCAGGGGTCCTCCTGGAATATTGTTTTGTGAGCTAACACCAAGCATAATAATGGAATGCTGTTCCTTTGGGATATTAAGAAAGATCAATCTGAGAGATAGGAATAATTATAGAACTCAAATATCTAGGCAGGTGTGTGTGTGTGTGTGTGTGTGTGTGTGTGTGTGTGTGTGTGTGTGTGACGTCAATTATGTAACACTAATGTTAATCTCTCACACACATAGACATATTCACACAAAGTATTAAAAGGATGCCATAATAATAAACTGGACAAAGATTGTATTTGGTTATTTGAATGTAATAATAGTGTGATCACCATGTTAGTACATGTGATGCATGTGGAGGAAGAGGTAACTACAGACCTCTGTCTGGCCCCAAGCCTCTCCATCTGGTTCAGAAGTTCTCAAACACAGACAGTAGAGCAATTTAACAGAGCACAAAACTTGCTCTGCAAGTTCCCACTTGCCTCCACCTTCATTTCCATGCCTGAATGGAAGGAAAGATGGCCTTATGTCTGTCAAGGAACCAAGGCATAGTGAGAATAAATACTCCTGGTGTGGGTATTGGAAAAATCTCTGTCCAAGGGGAGTTTCCTAATCTTTGTGAAACATGGGCCTTTTAGCTTTAACCCAGAATAGTAATGTGTGTCTTGAAAATGGTCTCAAATTCTTTGCTCCTCCTGCCATTGGATTAAGTCTCATTCTCCCCTTGGATATGAATGGGCTTTGGGCACTTTCTAGACCAGTGTAGGGAAGTAATGTTCTTGGATTTCCATGGGTAGGCCATAAGAATCCTTCCAAATCCCACCTGGTTCTCTTATCAATTGCTCTAAGGGCAGCCAGCCTCTATTTAAGAAGTCTAACTACTCTGAGAACCTCCTGCTGTACACTCAAGCTGGCCACATGGAGAAGGTATTTGGGGAGAGAGAAAAATGCCTGACGTTGTCCACATGTTCCAGGTCTCCCAACCCAGGTGGCAGACATGAGTGAAATGCTGCATGAGAGCTGAGCCCTATCAGCTTAGAACTGTGGGAGAGTATGTGGCAGCAATGGATTAATATTAGAGAACCATTAAGCATTAGAGATGTTGTGGGACTGTGTAGTTGGTTAAAGGAGTTTTAAAATATAAACACATATGAGACTTTATCATAGTGACAAACCAATTAAAGTATATATAAGTAAATCATTGATTCATTTTCAATTTACAAACATTAGTTCTAGAAATTAACTACTTTAAAACTATTTTACATTAAAAAGAACCACAGCTCCTTAGAGAAATGAATGAGTCCAGGCCTGAAGCAAGAGATAAATAGGACTGATCTGGATCAACACATTATACCAGAAAATAAATAAGTTATCAGAGCCACTAGGGTAAGGTAAAAAAATTCCAGGAGCCATTTGGATCCCATTGACCAAAGGCAGAACAATTTGAGCATATAACAACGGAAATAAATTGAAACATATTAAAGATGTGCAAATTGATTCCTTCAGATGCATAAAGAATAAAAACAAGCAATAGGTCACTTTTGGAGGACGCATGTGAACCAATTCATTATTTGGAAAACTGGTCAACAAGGAGAAAGAACCAAGCATCAATCCTGTCTTCTGTCTTCTCTATAGGAAAATGTACCTCCAAGTAACCAGGTAGTAGGTGAGGGAGTTGTATTTTTTAAAGAAGTATTCCAGATAATAAATGTGGAAGGAATGATAGCACTGAAGCCTACAGCTACTAATATCATGATGGATAGATAAGTAGACGTTCTGCTTCTCAACACCCATGAAGTAGTCTTGCAAATCCCCTGGAACCTGTATCTAAAAAACCCGAGTCTGATAAACCCTCTAAATCCAACTAGCCCTTTATAAAAATAGAGACAAAGGAACATGTTAAACTACACTGCAGCAATGTAGTCGGCAGAAATTTAGAAGGAACTACTAGAAAGCAAGAGAATGCTTATGGTTAAGACGTAACACAGGGTCAATCTAAAAATTTGTATTGCATGAAAATTTTAAACTAAGTTTCTAAAAATACACTTTTGAAATGAAACAATGGCTTAATCAATGAGAAAACACTTCTTATTTAGTAAAAACGAACTCTTTGTTGTTTACCAAAGAACGGCTTTCTAATTCTGTGCAGTACTTTACAATTTAGGGTGGTTGTTTTAAACAGGTAAGACAAGACTTTTACTAGTTTGTAGATGGTCTGCCCATCACAAATTGACTGGTTGGTGCACATGAGAATTATCTATAGAGTCTGGGAAGCTGGGGGTGTATCTGGTGTATTCTGAGACTGATGAGGTAGTTTCCAGGACCGTGTCCAGATTCAGTTTCACAGGGTAAGATGGCTCCCTGACAAAATATTCAGTATTCTTTGGATTTACTCTTGAGTGCTGCTTCCACCTAGTGGAGGCAAACAAATCATGAGAAATGCCTGATTTCTTTTATGAATGAGAGCTAAATATAGCATCTGGATGTTAAAAAAAAAAAAAAAACTGTAGTGTTTGGCCATGAATTGGTAACTATGAAGATAAATGTTTTATAATAGGTGCTATTATATTCTCTCTTTTGATATGTGTTACATTTTTCATGATAAAATGTTAAAAAACAAGAAAAGAATTTTCTGTTAATCAAGAATTACACTAAATGTGGCAGCTAATAAACCTCAATGTTAGGTTTTTATTCTGTTTTTAAGTCACAAGTGTTTTCTGTACCAGGCTTGCTCCTTCAGGTTCCTTCCATACAAGCCATATTTTGCAGCTATGTATCTTAGAATGGCCCTGGATTCTACCAAACTCATTCCATCCATTTCTACCATGGGCACTCGTTCATACATCAGGGTTCCACCTTGAAAAACACAAAAGAAAGCTGGATTATATATTGTTCTTGATAGTGGTAACTGAGTTTTCTTTTCTAAAGATGATACAAAATGGAACTATTATAATAAAATAATTTTTATCAAAATATTTTTAGAGACTAAGTAAAAGGAGAACTATTTATGCATTCACTTCTACAAAAACAAAGTGTGGAGGGCCAGACACAATATTGAATATCCTGGAAGACACCAAAAAAAATATATATATATATTATATTAATATTATATATATTATAGATAAATATAAGTCTGTGTATACACACACACACACACACACACACACACACACACACACACACACATACTCTTTCTTGCCAAAGATTCCTCTTTAATTCCTTTGTCTCTTTTTTTTAATACTCTTTTTTAGTTATACATGGACACAATTCTTTATTTTGTTTATTTATTTTTATGTGGTGCTGAGGATTGAACCTAGGGCCTTGCACACGCTAGGCAAGCACTCTGCCACTAAGCCACGACCCCAGTCCTCCCTTGTCTCCTTTCCTATGGCCACTCCATTCTTTTTACCTTTGAGCTACCATGATAATACCCTGAGTATTAACTCAGGCTCCAGATGGGCCATTCTTGTCTATCCCACCTTCTCTGCCTGGTTGTTTTCATGAAGTCATGAGACTATTGAACATATTTCCATCAATCCCTATTAATTATCAGTGAGTAAGCAGAACTATTTAACCACTGTATTACTCTCTGTAATAAAACCGACTAACAAACTAATCGTATCTAGAGAGGGCCATGTTTTGATTAAAAAGAATTCTGTCTCTCTCCCTCAACTCTGTGTGTCCATCTGTCTCATCTCTTCCTCAGATGGGCAACCATAAGGCTGGCTCTGCACTTTTCCCATCAAACACCTGAAGCTGGGCCAGTTCTCCTTTCCATTATCTGAGGGTCTAACTGGGAAACTGAGCCACGCCAGTTACTTTTGCAGAAAGAATTTAATATAAAGAAGTTAACCAAGTCCTGGAAAACTGAAAAGAAACAAAGGAGCAGTGCAGTATCGTGACATTGGAAACCACAAAAAAGAAGACAAAGTTCAGGGGAAAGAAAAGGAGAGAGCTGGAACTATTAGACTTAGAAGCGTGGAGGCAGGGCTCCTGCTTGTTGCAAGACTCAGGTACTTCCTTCCTGATATAGAAGTAAGATATTGATAGTTACTGTCAGTACGGTTTTTATTTCTCTTATTCAGAGTATTAAACAGAGGGGTGGGGATGGGGGCGGGGAGAGTGATCATAGTAATGGAGACCCCATCTCACCTCTTTGATCTAATGTAACATCAAAAGTAATTAGATTTTCATCTCACCTTGAATTAACTTTTCAAATTCTTCACGTGTTTCAAAGAGTTTTTCTTCAAACTAAGGAACAAACAAAAAGAATGTAAGAATACATTGTTATTAGCATTTTTATTATTGTTGCTGTTGATACCATGGAAAAAAGTTACATGGAAGTCAAAGGATTAGCTATAAAGTGACCCCCAAGACTCAAGTGTTGAAGCCTTTTCTCCAGTGAACAATGTTCAGAGGTGGGGCTTTTGAGAATTTGATAGGATCATGAGGGCTCTGATCTCATCAGTGGATTAATCCATTTGATATTTGATAGCTGATATTTGATGATAGAATGGATTACTAGGAGGGGGAACCTAGTTGGAGGAAGTAGATCACCGTGGGCTTTCTCTGAAAGGGTAGGTAGGGTATTTCTTGTTCCCTGCATGTGCATCTCTTTCTCTCTCTCTCTTTCCTTTTCTGCTTTCCAGATGCCATGAGCTGAGTAGTTTCCCCCTGCTATGTCCTTCTGCCATGAGGTTTCTGCCTTGGATTCAACTGACCATAGACTGAAACTTCTGAAACCTTGAGCCAAAATAAATCTTTCCACCTTTATGTTGTTTATGTCAGGTATTTTGATCACAGTGATCACAGTGTTGAAAAGCTAACAAGCACAAGGCCTAATTACTGACTAAAGTAATGTTTTAAGTATACCAAATATGTAGTTCCTTTGTGTCACTCCTGAATCCTTTAACAATATGAAACTGAAGTGTCAGATCACCTCATTTCTACACCTCAAAGACCAGCATTAACTTTAACTCTAATCCAAGAGCAGGAAACTTAGCAGTCTCCAGGGAATTCTGCTATTTTTATAAGACAACAAAGACTGTAATCCCAGTGGATCAGGAAGCTGAGGCAGGAGGATCTCAAGTTCAAAGTAAGCCTCAGCAACTTAGAGTCCCTGTCTCAAAATAAAAAAATCGAAAGGACTGAAGATGTGATTCTGTGGTTAGTGCCCCTGGGTGCAATCTCTGGTGCCAAAAAAAAAAAAAAAGATGTAAGAATTCTTACTCATTTAAAATATTATCAATATTATTGTATAAATTATAGAACTCTTCATAGAAAAATCAGAAAATAAAGATATGCTAAAAAATTGTAAGTCATCCTCATTGGGCTCTCCTCTAGAAATGAGAAGGTATTCAGTAGACATGTTCTTTTCCTATGGCTAAGTCAGCACAAATATGGCGTTCAAAAGGTGGAAGTTGGACACTTGCTACACATTTAAAAGAATCTTTGTGCAGGAATAGGGTGTGTAATATGTATGTGTGTGTGTGGGGTCTCTTTTCTCTTAGTCCTTTGATTTGATAAATTTTCTTCTGCTTGATGATCCCCAGTACTAAGTATTAAGTACTATCTTACCATCACCTTCTATTCTTGGTTCAGATAGTTGGTGGTGTTCTCTCTTTTATATTTTCATCAGTAAAAAGAACCATGAATCAAAAGCCAAAAGAAACACACACAAAAAACAACAACAACAACAACAACAACAAAACAAAACAAAAACAAAAACAAGCTCTGCTGACAGCTGGCATAATATTGGAGCTCTTCTTCTCCAAGTTTTCATTTGATGCTTAGGAAGCCCAGAGAGGCCAAGTGACTTGCCTGAAGACCCTCGGCTAAAGGATAGAAGAACCAGGGCTGGGTTCCCTTCATTCCAAGGGAAAAGGTTTCCACTACATTTCAGATATTATTAGCTTAGTAACTGTGATGTCTTTATTTAAATAATCATTTCAATTTGAAGCCATATTCCGCACTTGGTACCAAGTATGGGAGTACAGAGAAGGACAATCAAGGTATAAAGCAAAGCTTTCTTTCTTCCTTTTATTTTTATTTTTATTTATTTATTTTTGTGGTGGCTGGGGGGTGTTACTGAGAATTGAACCCATGGATGTCTTACCCCTGTGCTACATTCCCATCCCTTTTTATTTTTTATTTTGAGTTTTTCCTCCTGAACTTTTTTTTTTTTAATGATTTTGTGCTTTGCATAAAGGCTGAGTGAGAATCTGTGTTGGGCACTGTGGGGTTTCCAAAGATAAGTGAAGCATAGCTATTTTAGCAAACTGGTATATACAAGAGCATATTTAAGCTTTTGAAAATTCACTGTGACTCATAATGACAAGGAAAAGTTGGGAAAAGAAGATGGATACTACTGTAGAATTGCCTTCCAATTCTGACAAGTTATGATGGTATCAACATGAATCTAAAACTCTGGGAGGAATCAGAAGGCCCAAGACAGAGATTCATGAGGCTCAGAGAAAAAGACTGATCTATTACTGTTTTGTAAAAATTAGGCCTTTAGAAGGAAAAATGAGAAGTTTACGTTTTTTTAAAAAACTATACTAAAAAATATTTAGTAACCTCCAAAGAAGTTGGAATGTTTTTGATAGGTAACCCTTGTCTCCTGTGCATGTTTTATGATGCATATTCTTTCTTCTTGAATGTTAAAAGTATTTACTGACCATATCATTTGTTCTTATAAATACCATAGTATTATAAAGCAACAATATGAAAAAATTGAGATTAAAAAAAAGATATAAAAGAATGACCTTGTGTCTCTCTCTTTCATCTTCAACATCTATCATCTGTCATTTATCCAGCTGAGTTTAAAGAGAAAAATAAAGAATGATACACAGAAGGAGCCAAGTAAGTAAATTTTTTCCCAAAAGTGCACAAGTCAAATTTTGGCAAATACAGATAAAAATGCAAAAATATAAAAGCTAGACTTGCTAGATACAGGTTATTCAAGCAGACCGGAAGATGATGGTCCAACTGAATTTTAGTTTTATCTGTTAATGTTTTATTTTTAACAGAAGACTATCTGACTATATTAAGTGAATTAGGACTAAATTTTAACAATTGTTCATCTCAGGTAGCAGGGTCATGTTCATTTACAATATTCTTTGCACATGCTTAACCTTCTAACTTGATTTAAAATTTAAAAAAAAAATCCAGATACGACTTTTAGAAAAAAATGAAACTTCTACAGATGTTTTGTTGTTGTTGCTTTATTCAAACACTTCTGGAAGACATAATGTGGTACATTTCACAAAATATTCCAAATTAAACCATGTTCTGAGATGCATTCATATAAGGTATTTTCATTTCTGGAGAACAGATGAACGTGAGACCTCTGTTAGATCTCAGACAGCATATAGAATATCCTAGTGAATGTCAAGTCACCAGTATTGCTTGCTAATTTTTCACTAAGTCACCATGGGACAGACCATAAGTTCAAAGAAAACTTGTTCCTTTATCTAAGAGACCATTTAAGAGTAACTGAAAAATACTTTTGTATGGATTCCAGAAGAGGCCAATTGCTTTATACTCAGAATGTGCTAGAGGCACAAAGATTTCTTTGGAAAGCTTTTTATAAACTTTAATAAACTACTTTTAAAATGTATTGAGAAATTTTTAATAATTAAAAAAATCATTGACGTGTAGGACAGCTATAATTTAATGGTAAACGATAATGTTATGTCAGTACTGTTTTGTGCTTTTAAAGAAAAGTACTATTATCTTAATAGTCTTGATTCAAATGTAGTTAAATGAATGCCATACTTGGCTGGGAAGAATGGAATCAGAAGCTATGAAGCAAAATGAGTCTCTTCCTTTCTTTCCTCTGTGCCTCCCTCCTTCATTCCTTCCTCCCACACCCTTCCTTCTTCTTTTTTTGTTAATTATTATAGAACACTGTAACATCTTGGATATGTTTAGTATTAACAATTATTACAGTCTTTAGGCACTTAATTAAAAGGACTAATTAATTCTTTCACAGCCAACATTTAAAGAGCATGTGGTAATAACTGCTTTTTGTTTTCTATCTGGTACAGTAGAGTAGGCCTGTAATCCCAGCAACTCAGGAGGCTGAGGCAGGTGGATTGAAAGTTTGAGGCCAGCCCCAGCAATTAGCGAGGGCCCAAGTAACTTAGCGAGACCCTGTCTCAATACAAAAAGAGTTGGGGATACAACTCAGTGGTGAAGCACTTCTGAGTTCAACCCCAGTGCAAAAATTTTCAAAAGTAGTTTTCTATAACTTTCCTGAAATAAGTATTTAATGATCTGCAGACAAAAACAATAGCAGTCCACCCAGCCACCTTACCTCCACTCCTGCTGCAGCCAAAAGCCATCGGATGGACTCCATTCTGCCCCTGCCATTGAAGTAGTGAAGCACAGGCTTCCCCGCCATGACTAAGAATCCCTGAAAATCAAGAGGGAACAACTGAGATTTGTTCACAAAGAGAAACAGAAACTTATAGAGCATCACAAAATTCATCAGAAAGATATGGGCTTGCAACTTATGCCCCAGACCCAAGCGGATCTTAGCTCCAAGACTGCCTGTAATCTAGGTTCCTTCCTCACGAGTGGAGCCTGTCTTCTGAAACTGGTGTTCTAGATTTTTAAAAATTAATTTAATAACTGACTTTAAAAATAGAAAGAAGATAAGTGTAAGCAAGTCAGATAGAAGGAAAGAATTCAGGACTAAGGCTAACCTGTTTTTCTTCTTGTGCAGGTGACAAGATTTTAGCATTTTAATCTTTCTTCTCTCTCTTTTTTATACAGCTCCTCCTCCCTCCTCCTGCCAGGACAAGCCTATGCTGGAGAAACTGAGTGAGAATGGAGAACTGAGGAGGAAGCTAGCATTTTTCACTTTCCAAAGTCATCTTGACATATTAGTCACAGCATACTCTGGAGCCAAGAGCAGCATGCAAGAGGGTTTTTGACGATTGGGATTTAAAGCAAAAGTACAGTTAGGCAAAGGGTGACTTTTCCCACCTTCACATTTTTTTCCCTTTGGAAAAAAAATTTTTAAGAAATAACAACTCATACTCATTTTGAAGAAATTGAAATAATGCAGAAGTATAGAAATTAAATGCCCATCCTCACACCATCCCAAGAAAGCCTATGTGGCTTGAGGGATGTGAGAGTTTGGCTTGATGGGGTGACAGGTTCTGAACATTCAAAGGTTGCAAGAGGGAGCTGTGGGGAGGTGGAGAGTGGCTTTAGGAATGGGAGGGTCTTCGTGGTATAAGGGGGAGCTGATTTATTTTGTAGCAAGTCAATTGGCTCACTTTCAAAACTGGCCCCTCTACACATGAAGAACTCAGCAAAACAAATGAGGAAAGGATAGATTGCAGAAATAACTATCTTTTTTAAAAATATAATTTTATTATTTTTTATTTTTTTATTGGTTGTTCACAACATTACACAGCTCTTGACATATCATATTTCATACATTAGATTGAAGTGGGTTATGAACTCCCAATTTTTACCCCAAATGCAGATTGCAGAATCACGTCGATTACACATCCACAATTTTACATAATGCCCTATTAGTAATTGTTGTATTCTGCTACCTTTCCTATCCCTACTATCCCCCCTCCCCTTCCCTCACATCTTCTCTCTCTACCACATCTACTGTAATTCATTTCTCTCCTTGTTTATTTTCCCATTCCCCTCACAACCTCTTATATGTAATTTTGTATA